TTTAGGCTGTTGTGCATAGGGTCGCTATGAGTCACAAACGACTCGACGGCACATAATAACAACAACAACAATGTGAAACCTATACATACGTGGACTAAGAGGTATTCATCAGAACAGAGCAAGGAAACACTACATGGTTCAAAATCAAGAAGAGGGTACATCAGGGATGTATTTTGTCACCATACCTTTTCAATCTGTATGCAGAACAGATCATCAGAGATGCTAGGCTATACGAGAAGGAATGTGTCATCAGGATTTGTGGAATAGTCATCAATAACCTGCGTTATGCAGATGACACAACCCTGTTTGCTGAAAATGAGGAGGACCTGAAGCACTTGCTGCAGAAAGTCAAGAACAGCCTTCAGTATGGATTGAAGCTCAACATCAAGAAAACAAAGATTCTCACCAGTGGGCCAAATGGCAGCATCAGTATGGATGGTGAAGAGATTGAGATAGTTAACAGTTTTAGTTTACTTGGCTCCACAGACAACACTCTTGTTTCCAGCAACCAGGAAATCAAGAGACAAATTGCTTTGAGAAAGTCAGCTGCTAGGGACTTCTCAAGAGTACTGAAGAGCAACGATGCTATGCTGGAGACTAAGGTGTTCCTGATCTAGGCTGTAGTCTTCGCAATTACATGATATGCTTCAGAGTTGTACAGAGACTAGAGATGACAGAAAGATAATTGATGCCTTTGAGCTGTGGTGCTGGAGAGAAGTGTGTTGAATATACCAGGGACGGCTAGGAGAACAAACAGGTTTGTCCTGGACAGGGTGAAGCTGGAATGCTCCTTGGAGTCAAGGTTTCGGAAGCTTCATCTGATGTACATTGGACATGTAGCATGGAGGGACTGGTCCTTGGAGAGGGACGTCCTGTTTGGGAGAGTGGAGGGACAGTACAGGAGAGGAAGACCCTCAATGAGATGGATCGAATCTGTGAGTGGAGTGGTGGGAATGAGTGTGTTTGAGATGGTGAGGTTGGCACAGAATAGAGCAGTGTTTATGGCTCTTGTACATAGGGTCGCTATGAGTTGCAAGCTCTCCACTGCACATAACAACAACAACATGGCTTTTGTTTGTTTGTTTTAATTTATTATTTATTTCAATGAAAATTTATAGAGACTTTGGATTTCCATTAATTCATTGTTGCACTTTTCTCCCCTCCCAACCCTCCCCCCCAGTACACTACCCTCTTGGAAAAGTAAAAGAAAAATTCTTCCATTGTTTCACAAACCCTCCCCCCAGGCCTTCGCTCTGGACTCCCATCATGACAAAAATACCTAATCACATATCCCTTTTAAACAGTTTTCTCCCTCATCTGTTTCACTGCAGTATACAGTCTACCCCCAACTTTGATATCAGTCCTGTTTTACAATAGTGGCACCATGCAGTATTTGTCCTTTTGTGACTGAGATACCTCACTCACCATAATGTCCTCCAAGGTCACCCATTTTGAGTATTTCATGAGTTCCTTGTTTTTCAATGCAGCATAGTATTCCATTGTGTGAATAAACCACACCTTCTCTATCCATTCATTTGTTGATGGGCACTTAGGTTGTTTCCAGCTCCTTGCTATTGTGAACAAAGCTGCGATAAGCGATAGGCAGGGAGGGCCTGTGCTAGTTTTACTCCCTCTGACCCTTTCTGAGAGACACTTACCACCTTGGGCCCCAATGTCAGTTTTCTCTTTTAGACAGCTACATAATCACATCAGGGTATTATGTGTCGTTGAGTCCAATATTGAACTAATAAAAGAGATAAATCAAGTAAAAAAGGTAATTCTAAAAGGGACCTAGTTCAATGGTTACTAATTTTAAAACACCTATGTATGAGAATGATTGTATAAAATACAATGTGAATGAAGTAAAGTGTGAAATACAATATATACAAATTTTGTATGCAAACCAATTTCAATTTTTTTAAAAAAAAAGTTGTAACCAGTAACTTGTCTCAGTATAAACCCTTTAGGAAAATGTTAAAACTCTTATATACTCTTCAGTTCTCTCCTGTCCCTTTAGCCAGTATTCACCTCAGATCTATCTAAGTTTTATTCAATTTAAAGTATTTTAAACTAATGGGAAGGTCTAATTTTGTTTGTATGCTTCTCCATGTCCCAATGTTAAGTATAGTTGTAAAGTTTAAAGATGAGTTATTTAAACCTTTTATTCTATTCTCTTACTTGCAGTGCCTTTGCCTGGCACCTACCTATGAACTTGCTCTGCAAACCGGCCGTGTGGTTGAACGGATGGGAAAATTCTGTGTGGATGTTCAAGTGATGTATGCCATTCGAGGGAATCGAAGTATGTACGAGGAAGCCAGTCCTGGCTTCTTACTTGATAAGTGTGTTGTGTGACATCTGTTTTCTCATATCTGAAGTGGGGAAAATAAAAGCGCTTGTATCATATAATTGTTAGAATTAAATGTGAACATTCAGAGACAATACCATGTACAAAACAGGGCATTATAAAGGTTCAGGAAGAGTTCACATAATTTTCACATCCTGCATGAGGTTGCTTCAGAGAAGCTTTTTTTTAATTTTTATTTTTTTTTTTAGGGAAATTGAGTTGCTTTGAATTCACCTTTTATTTTTTCATTGAAGTAATCCATGGTTATAGTTAAAAACGTTGTTAAAACTGAATATAGGAACGTAAAAATGAAAGAAGTATTTGTTGCTTTCCAAAACTTAATCCTATTCTATTCTACTCATAACAGACCTGTATTGGTTTTTGTTGTTGTTGTTGTTTTTTTATTATTTTTGTGTGTGTGTACCGTCAAATCAGATCTGACTGGTACAGGAGGAGCGCCCTCCTTCCCCAGATGCTCTTCCTGCAGCAGAACATCTGGTGGATTTGAACCGTGCACCTCTGGGATTGTAGTTGCAGCTTCTTGCCACTAGGCCAGCAGAGCTCTCCTGTTTGTTGTTTTTTAGAAAGCTTATTCAAACACATGTGAATGCACGGAAATACATTTATTTTCATTGTAAGAGTTTCCTAATAATGAAAGTTAGAGGTTTTTTTACACTGTTAAAAAAATTTATGCTTTGACTTTTTCCCCCCAGATAAATAATATGGTCTCAACTCATTCTTTTGATTGGTTAAATGATATTCCAGAATACTTTTAATGAAGATACTAATGACATATTTTGTTTGTTTTCTGAGTAGCAAACATTTGTAGGTTTTTCCACAGCTATGCCTGTATTTCTGTAGGACAATGATTTTTAAAATAATCTTGGTGCAGAACTAAATATGGAACACTATTATCATTATCATAAACCTAAACACCTAAAAAATAAAAAAACCATCATGACCTGAAGGGTTTACGTTGGAAAAATGATGAGCTATACTTTTACGGAAGAGTTTTATGTTGCACTACTGTGAATAGTGAACTGTTTCCCACTGTTTACATCTGAAGAAGCATTTTATAAACTTTTTCCACAGTTCCAAGGGGTAGTGAAATCACAAAGCAGATTATAATTGGCACTCCTGGAACAGTCCTAGATTGGTGTTTCAAGCGAAGATTAATTAATTTGACCCAGATCCGTGTGTTTGTTCTGGATGAAGCAGATGTGATGATTGACACCCAGGGATTTTCAGATCAAAGCATTCGCATTCAGAGGTAATTTTCAAATTCATTCTTCCTTTCTGAATATTCTATTCTAATTCGTCTTTTTTGTGTGCTGCCTAAATATGTTTAAGACTTGCTTTGTTACCTTATCCACTTCTAAAACCACTTTCTCAAGAGTGCTCTTGTTTTCTGGATTGACTATCCTACTTGGTTGAATTTCCATAATAGAATCCGCTCATGGGTTCTGTGCGTCCTTTTTTTTTTTTGGTTGACATTTTTTTCCTTTGTCTTGAATATTTTCCATTTTTGCACATTTTCTTCCCCTTTCCCTGCTCCCAACTCTCCCCACAATGCCCCTTTGTTATAGATTCTTGTCATACATATAATGTCTAATCATATATTCCTTTTGTATAGTCCTTTCACTCATCTGATGTAATGCAGTCACTCTTTTCCCATTCTCTCCCCAACCTCCCATGTCAGTCCTATTTTATAACAACTGTGTTAGGCAGTATTTATCCTTTGTTGACTGGGCTATTTATCTCACCATAATGTCCTCCAGACTACCCCATGTTGTGAAATGATTTATGAGTTCCTTGTTTTTCAGAGCTGTGTAATATTCCATTGTGTGACTATACTATGGTTTTTCTATTCATTTATTTGTTAATGAGTACTTGGGCTGTTTCCATCTCTTTGCTATTGTGAATAATACAACAATAAACCCGAATGTGCGTACATCTGTTTGAGTCATAGCTCTAGTTTCTTTAGGGTTTATTTCCAGTAGTGAAATTGCTGGGTCAAATTTCCAACTTTTAAAAAAATTTTTTTCCCTTTTATTTATTCATTTTTGCACATTTCCCCCTCCTCTAGCCAGCCAACCCCACAATGCACCCCTTGTTCCAGTTTGTTCTCGTAATGCATAATCATATATTCCTTTCAGATAGTTCTTCCCCTCATTTGTTCTAATGAAGTGTTCATTATCTGTCCACTCTTTCCGCACTCCAAATGTCTGTCCTGTTTTATAACAGTGGTTTTACATAGTATTTGTCCATTTGTGACTGATATATTTCGCTTAGTATAATGACTCCAGGCTCTTCCATGTTGTTAATGTTTTGCTGTTTCATTGTCTTCAATACTATGTAGTATTCCATTGTGTAGATGTATCATAGGTTTTTCTTATCCATTTGTTTGTTGATGGGCACTTAGGTTTCTTCCATCTCTTTGCTATTGTGAATAATGCAGCAATAAACATGGATGTACATACATCTATATGAGTTGTGGCTTTGTAGGGTATATTCCCAGGAGTGGAATTTCTGGCTCAAATGGTGTTTCTATTTCCAACTTTTTGACAACGTGCCAGACCACCTTCCATAGTGACTGTACCATTTTACACTCCCACCAAGCAGTGAATAAGTGTTCCAGTCTCTCCACAACCTTGCCAGCATTTGTTGTTTGATGCCCTTTTGAACTTTGCTCTTGTTGCTGGGGTGAGATATCTCATAGTAGTTTTTATTTACACATCTCTGATTCCTACATATTTTGAACATTTCTTCATGTATGTGTTTGCCTCTGAATGTCATCTTTAGTGAAATGTCTTATTCATATCCTGTGTCCATTTTGTGATTGGGTTACCTTTTTCTTGTTGAGATACTTTAAATTTTTTATATAAGTCCCTTAACAGGTATGTCATTGCCCTTCTTACCATTTTGGAGAAGTTTTTTTATGGTTTGTTTTTGTTTTTTGTTGTTGTTTTTCTTTAAATGGGAATCACTCTAACATGAAAGGGATACTGTTAAGGTACTTCGTTCAGAACAGAGAGCACAGTGCTTATGTCTCTAACTTAATTAAATAGATCATAGAGTTTTAAAAAAAATTTTCTATAAGAATCACCGAAGGGGCTTACAATTATGCTAGACCTAACCTCAGACCTCCCAATTAAATTTCTGGATGTGGGTTCAAGAATCTATAAAATTTATCTTTAAATACTTTATATTTTATATACTATTATACATGGTTCAGAGTTAAATTCACATAGTACTGAAAGATTTGTATTGATTGCAAGTTGTCATCCTGACCATAGAGAATATCTCTCACTTCTGGTATTAGCTTTCATATCTTTAAATAGTACGCTCATATTCTTTTTTTTTTTTTTTGAAATGTAAACCTAATGATTATCTTCTGACTTCCTAATAGAGGAAATGAGGATTTAGTTCTTTAAGGTACCATCTCACTTTCCTGTCGTTTACTACTTATTATAGAAGGAATATGCAGTCATTGTACCAAAAAGAATTGGTTGACATGGTCATTTCAGAAGTAGCATATAAGCTGAAGGAAGAAGTCCAAGCAGCATTGAAGACATTAGCAAAAAATAAGGATCCAGGAATTGATGAAATACCAGTTCAAGTGTTTCAGTAAACAGATGTTGCTATGGGCATGCCCACCAGTGTATGCCAAGATATTTGCAAGACAGCTACCTGACCAACCAACTGAAAGATCATATTTTTTCCCACTCCAAAAAAAAATGTGACCCAGTAGATGCTGGACATTACTGAACAATATAATTAATAACACATGGAAGTAAAATTGTCCTGAAGATTATTAAAAAACAGCTGAAACAATACATGAACAGGAAATTGGCAGAAATTAAAATTCAAGCTGGATTCAAATGAAGACATGGAATGGAAGATAGCATTGCTGATGGCAGATATTTGTGACTGAAAATTTCCAGAGGCATGTTCTTTAGGAAGTGGATGCCACTCCTGCTTCCAATGATTTTATTGATTACACAAAGTCATTTAACTGTTTGGAACATAACAAATTATGGCTACCATTGAGAAAAATAGGAATCCTAGAGTACCAATTGTGTTCATGTGATCAAGAAGTTGTTCATATAAAACAGGAGAGCACTGAAAAATGTTTTAAAATCAGGAAAAGTGTGTGTCAACGTTGTATTCTTTGTTAAATTTGTATGCCAAGCAAATAATTCAAGAATATGGGCCATGTGAAGAAGAATGGCATCAGATTTGAAAAAAGACTTACAGCAAAATGTGTTATGCAGGTAACACAACTTCACTTCCTGAAACTGGAAAAGATTTGAGGCATATGTTGAAGATGATCAGAGACAACAACCTTCAATATGAATTGCATGTCAACATTAAGAAAACAGAAATCCCTGCCATTGGACTAGTAGAAAAAGTCTACTACATGGAAAAAAGATTAAAGTTCTCAGTGATTTCATTTTACTTGGATTCACAATCAGTATCCATGGAAACAGCAGTCAATAAACCAACTCATTACAATGAGGTCAAGAACTTTTTTAAAGTACAAAACAGCAAGGATGTCCATTTAAAGTCTTTGGTGTGCCTGATTCAAGCCATAGTATTTTCAGTTGCTTCCTATGAATCTGAAAGTTGGACAGTGAATAAGGAAGACTTAAGAAGAATCCATGCCTTTGAATTGTTTTCTTGAAGTTTGTTGCTATGTACCATTGTGTCATAACCAACTCATAGCTGATCTTTCAGGGGGCATTCAGAAGTAGTAAATCACACAGGATTTCTATGTTTTTCCCATGGAACACCTCGTGGATTTGAACCTCATACCTTTGCACTGACTGGCAGCATACCTCTTTACAACTAAGCCTCCAGTGGTCTTGAAGAAGAATGAACACCCCTTGGACTGTCAAAAGAACCAAGAAATCTGTGTTAGAAGAAGTGTAATCGGAGTACTCTTTGGAAACAAAGTTGATGAAACTTTGTCTCGGCACCTTGGGCATGTTGTCAGGAGGGGCCAGTCTATAGAAAAAAAATACCATGCTGGGAAAATAGGTGGTCAGCAAAAGAGATGAAGATTGTCAGTGGGACGGATTGACACAGTGATTGTAACAATGGGCTTTAGCATGATGATGCAAGGTTATGGTGCATTTTTCACAGGGTTGCTGTGAGTCAGGGTTGACTCAATGGCATCTAACAGGTCCTTACTGTAATATTTTAGTTGCATTAACCATATGAATTGCAGAATAAAAGTCCTGATGATCTGCTTCCATTAATGTGACAACTGAATAAATTCTATGTAGCTCAATTTTTTTCTCTCTTTGTAACACAAAGTTAGAGTCAGAAACTCAGAATAAGTTAACATCAGTCAGAAACTACTAGATAGCAACTATCAACACTAGCATCATTCATATCATTATAACTATATAGCTATAATTTACTAAGCCAAGCAGTGTATTATAATTATGGCTTTCTAATATAACATTGTTAACCCTAGAGTTAATAGTTACCTTCCACTCCCTCAATTTGATTAGTGTGTTGTATGAGTATCTTAGTTTCTTCGTGGTGCTGTGGTAGAAATACCACAAGCAAGTGGCTTTAATGAATAAATCATTCTTTTCTCACAATATAAGATACTCAAAATTCAAACTCATTGGTGTTGAGTTGGAAGCAACTCATACCTGACCTTCCAGTGCGTTTCCAAAGACTATAAATCACATGGGAAGAGATTACTCATCTTTCTCCCACTGGTACATTTTTAGCCCTTTGGCTCACACTTGGATTGTCAATGTAGATTCCTACCAAATAGGTCTGGGCCACCTGAGCTCCCTTTTATGAGGCTAGAAGTTAAATTCAAGCTGCCAATTTTAGGGAAAGACTTTCTCTCAGTCTGGGGAAGGGAGTGGGAATGTCTGTCTCAGATTCTCTAGGAGGATTCTTATTAAAGCATTTCTTACAGACCTCCACATGGTGTCAGACTTCCCCAATTTGCTTGCTTGCTTCTGTACCTAACTGCCATTTTATAGCATGAAAATGTAAAAGTGATTGGCTTTAGCACACCTTATAATGATAATGGCCTTGTTAGTATAATAAAGAAATCCCTATTCTCAGACATAGGATTTATACCATTCTTGCAGGGGTGAGGCACACTGTTCACATAATCATATCTTTAATTCTACCTGTTTGTCCTGCCAACGTTAATTCAACATAGTCAAGTAAACTTCATAAATCCATTGACTTCTTTATTTTGACTAGACTTCCCAGGCGCCCATTTTCTCCAACTTC